AGAAAAGGAAAAAATGTAAGTAGAGCAGAAAAGGAAAAAATGTAAGTAGAGCAGAAAAACAGAAGAAGAAAAAGAAAAAAAAAAAAGAGAAACGATGAAAGAAAGAAGAGATAGAAAGGAGACAATGACAAAACATTTTCAGTCTGCTTCATCACCTGTAACGAGTTGAAAAAAGAACAGCACGACCGAAAGACATGGTACGAGACATACAATAAAGCAACACCTTGAAACTATCGCTGAAGTAATATTATCAAGTCTGACATGTACTCTGTGTTACCTGAAGATACGGATGTGGGCTTTCTGTATGGAAGTAAATCTCTGAGTACCTGGAGCCAAGCACCTGTAATTGTTTGTGAGGGTTCACTTGTGCATGTAAAGTTTATCCATAGAAAAAAATGCTCAAACACCCAGATTTTTACAGTAGTTTACTGTTTTTGGAATCGATTATCATTCTGTTGTGTTACTTTTAAAGCCAGCTTAGATGTGTTTGGTTACACACACACATTTCCTGCCCCAACAATCAACCCTGTCCTGTATGGAGGACCAACTCTGCCATATTTAAAAATAAATACAGAAATAAATAAATGCTCAATAAATAAATAAGGATGCAATTAATTGCCTGTCTCAATTAATTGACTCTCTAGTACACCCCCCCTCCTCATTTGCATAATGAGGCAGAAATTCATACAGAAATGTAAAAAGGGCAGGCAGAAATAAACATCAGCAAAGAAATAACTAGGATTAAAAAAATACAAAGGAAGAATAAAACAGACAAAAATATTATAACATGCACATAAATATATACTTAAAAATATAAGTAATTAAAAATAAAGAAGACTATAAAGGACAAAAAAATATTACAAAGGCAATTAAATAAAGAAGCTATTTAAAAGAGTTATATACATTTATGTATAATTTAATTTCTACATACATTTATTTGTTTATTGTATTTTTGGTGGCAATTAATTGTATGCTTATTTATTTATTGAGCATTTATTTATTTCTGTATTTATTTTTAAATATGGCAGAGTTGGTCCTCCATAGTCCAGACTCTATCTGAAACTGCCCCTTTAGAAATAAAGGAACTTTCCTTCCAAAGATCAGGAACCACCAAGTTCCCAAACTGAGAAATGAAGAAACACCAGCGTACCGGTAAAGACACGCTGTCTGCTACAAGAGTGAGAAACCAGCTGCTCTGATACTGAAATCTTTAAGCTTTACTCATATTTCTGGCTTTCCAAGTAGAAAACTCTAATATCTTTTGGAGAAAAATGTTACGGTTAAAAAAACTGGGCTGAAATGAAAAGAAGAATCTTGATGGTTATAAGGGAGGGTTTCAAAAGGAATATGTTGGTGGAAGCTGCTGTCAATATGCTCCATCCAGAACTCCTCAGGTAGAAAAAAATTAGTTTCACCTGGTTTAATGTCATATAAACATAAATACCGGACAGATTCATTGATTTGCAAAATAACCTTTAGTTGTGGCCCTAAAGCTGTGATGTTTTTTGTTGCCTAAACGATTCAGTTTTTAAAGGGACTATTCGTAAAAGACAACATTTAATAGAATATTCATGTTGATGGTGAGAGGCTGTACATTTCTGACCATAAATATATTTTAATTTGTTAATGTTTTACCTCCCTTGTTAAAGTCAAACACAGCATTTTATTAAAAATATAAATCCTGTCTTAAATATATTTACCTTCTGAAAAAGCATAATTACAGAAAGGGAGTCTGTTAGAGCAGAAAAAGTGAATGTTTGATGCACGTTAAAGACATAATTTAGTATTAGAAGAGCATAGAAAATGGTTTAACCTTTTTTTGCCAACCAGTTTTTACATGGGAGGATCAGGGGTCAACAGGGGCCAGTGTCCCAGTAGAATTGGTTCTGGCCTCTATACTGAAAACATACTGTACACTGCAAAAATTGGTATATAACTGCGTTTTTTAAAGGTCAGGGTACTTTCCCTTGATTTGAGCAGGCAGTTCAAACTGTTTGCAAATAGAATAAGATGATTCATGTTTAAAATAAGAAAAAAAACCAAAAAACTCCACTAGCTTATATCAGGAGAAAATATTTTTAAGCAAAACTCTTAATTCTTTTGACAGATTTTCATAATTACCTGCTCAAATAAAGACAAATACACTTATTTTTAGATCAGTGTAATACTAAATAATTTTCATTCCAAAAAATAAATATCAAATAAAATCTAAAAATAAAATTAAAAGCAATCCACTAGACACTTTGTCCAGTGAACTTTCTTTTTTTTTACGACTATGACCTGGATGACTGAGAATCTTCACCAGTTTACTAAATAATTGTTATGATAATATATGCTGACAGCTGAGACACTAACTGTTTTTCCCTTTGGACCAGTTTTAATATTCTGCCTTCACAATTTACTTTTTTCTTTTTTTACGGCAGTAGTGACTCGTTTTTCTGACAGTAGGCTGAGGGGGAGAGACATGCTGCAAAGGACCACAGGTCAGATTGGAACCCGGGTCGGCCGCGTCAAGAACTAAGGCTTCCATACATGGGTCGTGGACACTAACCACTGCACCACCTGCACGCCTAATTTTGAAATAACAGCTTTAAGCTTCACTAATAGGATCACAGTTTTCATCTGCAAACTTGGTTGTTTGGCTCACTTAATGTCCTAAATGATGAGCCCTAAATCTGTTTTTTTTTTTTTTGTGTTTTTCTGTGTGTTTGGTATTTATTTTGTGATGTGCCCCCATGAAAATTAACCCTGGCCCCCCTTTTGTGTAGAACCGCCACTGAGCCCAACACTTTAACAATAAGCAGATAACAAAATTAATTTTTTATTCTTTTTTATCAAAAGTCTTTTGTAATTGTTTAAATGGGAATTTAGTCACTGTTTTAATAATTATTTAAATATCGTTCCAAAATAAACATTTTGTATTTTTATTTTGTTCCTGAATCCAAAACGTGAGAAATTTGTGACATTTCACACATGGTTTAGGAACCAACCATTCATCATCCTCTGATAATTACTGAGACAACAATAATTATGCATGAACAAATAATTTAGATGTCTTTATTCCAATCCCTTAGCACAAAGTAGTTTATTCAAGTATACTAAAAGTGCACTAATTTCATACTTAAAATCAGGCAGTGCACTTAGTTTACTTATTCTAAACTATATTTCATATACTTAACAATAGTATAATCAAGTTTACTTGACTATACTATTGTTTACTTTATTGTTTACTAAAGTATACTTTAGTAAACTTAAAAATGTCCCAATTTAGTTCGAAAAATATTACTTTAGTAATACTTCAAGTACACTAAAAGTCTACATTGTTTGGTATACTTTCTAAACTTATACTTAAGTATTCTTAATAGAATTTACTTCAAGTATACTACTTTTTGCTAAGGGATAAGCGGTCCTATTTTGTTTCTCAAATACTAAAATAGTAATAGAAGTTAAATTAAGTTAAATTTAGGTTTCAATTTTTACAGTGCAGGACTATTTATATGGGAGATTTGATGATTTGATTCAGAAATACATACACTAAATTCCTGAAAACATGATTTACGCATGGAATAAATGAGATAAAGGAACAAATTTATCCAGTGGAGTACTTTTATATACTAAGCTATTTATACAGGTTATATTCAGAGTAAATCTTGCAGCTGCAAAGCTTTCTTACTTTCTTTTTTTAGACAGATGTTGTGTTTTGTAACCAGACTCTGCAGGATCTTACAAGCTGCCAGGATTTTGCATATTTCACAAAAAGAAAAACGATCTTGTTTGCATTGATAAGTCGTTTTAACGTCTCCAGCTGGTGACGCGGCTCAGGTCACATGTTGGACACACACCTGCGCCAGGATGGACTGATTGGTGAGAGCGAGGAGACAACCTGCAGCTCCGCACTCAGCAGTCCTCCTCATCGGTTCACACTCATGAAACACTCGGAGTGACGTCCGTTGAAACTTTGTGGAGCAGGTGTGGTTCCCCACGGCGCCCCTCCACCCCCCACGCCAACGCGCGCGCACAGAGCGGATGCCCGGAGCAGCTTTTGCGGTGAGCAGAGAGTCGTGCGTCTCTGTGCGTCAGTGAGCCTGCGCGGCTCGATGAGCGACAGCAGGAGGAGGAAGACGCACAGACAGTTATCGTGGCTCCGGGTCGGCACGGATGGCACTGAGATCCCGCTGAGCGCCAGCGGCAGACGGAACAAGTGGCGAGCCGGGGGGTGGGTGGGGGGTCTGTGCGTCAAACTCAAAGAAGTCGGGATGGACGGGAAGGGAACGCTGAAGATGTTCAGGAAGAAACGGGAACTCATTAAGACTCCGTCCATCTCAAAGAAGAGCCGAGCAGGAAGCCCCGGTCCTCAGAGCGGCGCCCAGTCTGTGAGTAGCGCATCACTTCTGGTTTCTGCTTCCAGAGAGAGCGCGTGTGTCTGTGAGAGAGTGTGTGAGTGGGGGGGTCAGTTAACCTTCACCTGTATGGAGCACATCTCCAAACCAGTGGGGTTGATTATGGGCCTGAATGTGAGTGTTGAGGGGTTTGACCCCCTGATGGCAACTTCTGGCTGGTGACAGACCGACCTCTGCATGCATGAAACTTCTAGACAGTCATGAAAATGCAGAGTCACAATGGCGAATGCTCTACAGGGCACCTGATGGCACATTGACTCATATCTGGTTGAGTATTGCATAGGAAGTACATCTCTTGTGGTTTTTTTTTTCTTTTCAACCACTGAAGCACTCATTGTGCCCTGCCTCTACCAGAGACTACAATCAGAAGGACTAATTGTGTAGTTAGGTTGGGCAGAATGCTGAAACGCAGTAAAAATAGCTACAACCCTTACTCCACCACTCAAAGAGTTAAGAAAGCGGAGACCAAAGGCAAGGACAAGCTGGACATACTGCCCAACAGGCACAGCATATGGCTCAAACAGGTAGGTGTGGGGCTACTTCTGTCCAGTACCATCCAGGTATGATAAATATTCCTCCAATCTACTAAAGATGTAGATACTATCGTTGCAAAATGTGCTTGTCGTTCAATTCAGGTTGAAGTCTTAACCTTTGCCTAGTAGACCTTGCCTGATTTTCGAAGCATTTTAATTGGGTCATCTCCAATGTTGCTTCTCCAAACATTGTGATATTTGATTCCATGTGTCAAATTGCCACACCCGACGCAATTTGGAGTCAGGAAGTGTTGCACAACGCAGCACAGGATCTTGTGAAAGGCCTCCTATGTGTGTTTACCAACAGCAGCAGCGGCGGTGGTGGTGGTGGAGGCTGCAGAGGCAGTCACAAGTCCTCCAGGGATGAACCGATCGTTGGACAGAAGTCTGAGTGGGCCAGTTTCTCACCCGTCTGTCTAAACTCAATTCAGTTTGAATATTGGAGGAAATTACAACCAGTGCGATCTCTTTGAAAGATAAATGGGTCCTTTTCATATGCAGAAATATAAAAACAGATTAAACCAATGTAAAGTGATTCAGAAGAAGGTAGAAATGTATTTACATTTAAAACGGAAGAATCATGATGACTAGATAAAGGCCACAAGCTGAAAAAAAGCGTTGGTCAGCAAATAAGGTTGTTTCCAGTATGTCAGGCAGTACTGGAGTCATCACTTTACTTTTTAATGCAAAGCTATCAGGTTTTTAACGCCAAAGGAAAAACAACATAATACAGAGAGGCGTTACCTCTGTAGACCATCCTGGACGATCCTTTCAAAAAGCCTGAGAACTGAATCTTTACTCCCTCTCTCTCCCTCAGCTTTCCATTCTCCAGGAGCAGCCTCGGAAAGATGCGGCCGATGCCTCCCTGTCCTCCTCGCCCTCCTCTTCCACCACCTCCTCCACTCTCACCCCCACCTCAGCGGGGCTCCAGGATTCCTCCCTGTCATGCCCGGGAACCCCGAGCCCCCAGCACGCCAAGCTGGCCGCCATGCAGGCGATGGGCTGTCCGTCCCCCGGGCAAACCCTGAAGAGGCCGACGGCTCTGACCCGACACGCCAGCGCTGCAGGTGTGCTTTGAAAACACTGTAAAGTTCATAACAAAGGTTCACTGAGGTCAATAGAACTGCCTGCTAAAAGAGCATCAAAAACTGAGAGAGGATGGAAATGATTTATGCAACCTGATCTGGTGAATCAAACAACCTACAGGCAAATTATTTATTCTTAGCCAATAGCTCTACTTGGATGTTGTGGGGATTAAAAAGGTTCTTTGAATGTAAAAATGTTAGAGAAAATTCTAGTATTTAAGGGTAAAAGCAGAATGTTCTTGTAATTGTCTCCAAGGAGTTTCTGGGTCTCTCCTGAAAAGGAAACGGGTGTTTGAACGGTTCAGAGGTGATGTTTCTGCCAAATTGAGCATGCAGCGTTTTTATGTTTCCACAGGTTTCCCAGTTCCATCGTGGGTACACACTAAAGGTCAGGGGAAAGGAGCCTCGAGTCCGTCCCCTCAGTCAGAGGTACCGGAGAGCACCGTGATTGAGGTGGAGGACATCCCGGCCTTGCTGAGGGATGTGGCGCGGTTCGCTGAGGCTGTGGAGAAGCTGAAGGATGTTGTGCTGGCTGAGGGTAAGAAGCTGACCCCTTTTATTTTCACATTGTAAAGCCTCCTCCTGTGCTGTAATCCGCCTGCAGAAGCATCATGAAATAATGTGTTCATGTTGGTGGAGACAAAACACGACTTTGCATGCTTGTAAAGCCAGGTAGCACTATTGTTCCTGCGGGGGTGAGTTGTTCAGTTAGAACAATGCTGTTGTTGCTTCATTTCTACTACAAGTCAAACTTGGGATGCATCGGAGGGCTCCTGTTGATCTTACATCAGCCCGAACACGTGTGCTTTTTACGTGTTCGACACCAGCAGTGGGAGGAGCTTTGGTGCAGAGCTTCCTCTCTCAGAGTTGACGGGTGCGTTTCCGCTGCGCCTACAGAGTCAACCGCACTCTTGTCTCCTGCAGGAAGCCAGCTTCTTGTTTACTGCAGCCGTGTTCATGCACTCTGTGCCTCTCCTGCACGGTGCAGCCAAGCCTAAAACAGACTGCGTCCCTGTATTGAGATGGAGTGATACCCACAGGAAAATTAATCACTTAAATATTGTCCTTCAGCTCCATTTAGAAACCTCTGGTTACAAATGCCCCTATTTAGCGCAGATCCTGAAATATCTTTCCGTCTCCTGTTATCTGGCTTTAAGTCACGCTCCTTTTCACCCATTTTAGCTTTCTGAACAGGAAGCCATGATGGATGCGTCTGTGACAAAGGCCTTGTCTGATACTTCCTCCTGATAGGTTGACCTACGTCACTATAAAGATTATTACTACCTTCTTTTTATTTCACTTTAATGGTGCTACTTCATTTTTTTTCAGCTTTTGTTAACCCTTGTGAACAAATTGACCCAACTCCACAAGCCACAGAAAGCGGATAAGGCAGAGCAGCAGGACTGAACTCTCGAGTCTCTCGGGTTCTTCTGTAACTCTGTTCTCTTCTCTGACTCCTGCTGCCGCTCCTGCTCTGTTGATGGACAGATTTAGGGAGGTTGAAGGTTCAGCTGTCTGTTTTCCTCCTCCAGCCGAAAGCTAATGGGTAGCGTAACAAGTGCAAGGTTACAATACAGGTAGGGAAAAGAGTTCAGGCTCTACAGGCTTTCTACAGTTTTCTATCTTAGGAAAACAAGTTGATTGCATCTACTCATTGACTCTAAGGCAATCCCTCACACCTAGCATGCTTGTAGCGACAGTGTAGTGAAAAAGCTCGCTTTTAACAGGAAGAAACCTCCACCAGAACCAGGCTCAGTGTCAGCAGCCATCTGCAGAGGCCGACTGGGGTTCAAGGACACAGAAGCAGACATAGAAAAAGAACACAGAAGCACTGGTAATAGTAAACTATCTCTACAATGAACTCTGAGATGAAAGATGAAAGAGAACATGCGTGGTTTGTTATAATAAAAGCTGAGTCTTTAGCCATGTGTAGGAGAGAAATGGGACTAGGCGCTGTTAGGAATGGAACTTGGGTGCTGCTATATTGTAGAGGTAGAGGGCATGACCCATATACTGGCTGTCCCAGGTTCAAGTCCTGGCCTTGCTGACCTTTGCCAAATATCTCTCCCCTCTTTTCTTACCCACTTTCCTGTCTCTATACTTTAAAAAAAGACAAAATGAAGGCCTCTATAGCCTAAAATAAAAGAAAAAATTAAAAAAAGGGGACTAGGCGCCGTTGGAAACGACTAATATTCCAGCTAAAAAGCTGTTTTCACAGACCACATGAAATACCATGAATGCCCTTGACTCTGTTCAGAGTCGAGCGCCATTTCAATCACCATTTGATTTTATTATATTGTAACATTTGAATCATTATATTTATGTTTAAGTAAAAATCAGAGCATTGGTTTTTCATTCAACATTTAAGAAGCGTTTCTTTATTCACACATCTTTCCATCAACTGTGAACAGTTGACGGTTATTAAAAAAGACAAAGCTTGCATGGCCATATATTTCACCTGCAGGTAGAGTTAAACTTTAGCCCCACCTTCTACCTCTGTGCCATTTCCCCTACATGGTTGTGGGAACCGTTTGGTGGTGTTCTCCTCACTAAAACCTTTAAAAGCTGTAAATGTGTGGAGCACACATGATAGTTGTCCAGTTGACTGATTGTCCTGACAGAGCTGTGACTCTCTGCAGCTCCCCCAGAGTCGTCATGTGTTTTTAAAGGTCCCTTGTGAGGCCTGTCACTTTAGATTAACAGTCCTGTCCTGTTTGGTGGTGCCCCACCCTTCCAGTTTTCAGGTGATGGATTGAACAGAGCTCTGGGAAATGTTCAGTTTAGAGTATTGTTTTATAACCTAATCCTGCTTCTTGTTCTCTTTTGTAAATGGTAAATAGCATGTACTTATATAGCGCCTTTATTCAAGTCAGGAGACTTGACCAAAGCGCTTTACACTACATTCATTCACCCATTCACGCACACACTGATGGTGGCAAGCTACATTGTAGCCACGGCTGCCCTGGGGCTCACTGACAGACAAACATCTGGGGCTTTTGAGGAACAGCTGGATATATTATGCACTACTGAAGAGAGTTTGATGCACTGACTTATTTAAGGCTATTCAAGTAATCTGGGATGATAAAAATACAGGCCACACTTTCCAGATTCTTACTCATTGGAATATTAATATGACTGATGTTTGATTGCAACGTTAACAAATGTGAAAAATGTTCTAGTTATGATAGTAAGGCTTCACAACCAGACTTATATGAATACATCTAACAATCACCTCATAGCTACAGGGTTTGATGCCTGCTTACCTGTTTATTCCGTCTGCAACTTTTATTTTTCTTTATTTACTGGAAACAGGAACATGTATAAGTAACTCATAAAACAAAGTAGGGTGACTTACATAATTCCATTAAAAAAATCTGATCTTTACAGATTAACTAATCCTAATATGACAAAGGATTGTTTAGAAATCCTGTTTCATTATGTTTTTAATCGTGCCAATCAGCTCAGTCATGTCTTATTCACCGCTGCTTGTTTTGACTCTTGTCCAAATTTTAGGGAAACTCCAAGTCTGTTTGACTGTTTGACATTTTCATACCAGGCTGCAGTTTATCCCAACCTACTTTCATTTCCTACACTCAAACCAACCATTTAGTATCAGCGCTCTCACCAATAGCAGTTAATTTGTCGTGATCGTTTGCTATATCTGGATAAATTCTCATCAATTATCTGATCTCATGTATGTCTGATGTGTTTTTCAGCACCTAAGTTATTCTGAATCTCTTTTAAAGTCTCTTTTTCTTTATTTAACATCCTAATTCTCAAGAATCTGGTTCGGATTGCCGTTTGGTTTCGCTGACCGATTATTAGCCCTGATCTCTGTTGGTGGATTTTCATAATCAAATTTTTCTTGCAGCAGAAAATAAAAAGTAGAAAATAGAGATGAAGTGAAACAGCTAGCATCTGTGGAAGCTAAAATTACTGTATTAATGTTTCATTTTTCCTCTTAGCATAAGATTTTCCCAATATTGGTCTGATAATCAATTCAGTTTATTTCTATAGTACCAATTCACAACAGATGTCGTCTCAAGACACTTTACAGAGACAATTAATCAGATTATACAGTGTCACACCCTAAAAAAAGTGTGTGCACAATAATGGAAAAATCTGCCTCATAATAACATTTATTTCATTTTTGCAGCCCTTAAAATTAAAATTCCTCTCAGTAAAAAAACGTCACTAAATCTTTATGACACCGACTTCTACTTTAATCTCAGTTAATAGAAAAATGTACTTAATGACAATGTTTGACACACATGATGCTTCACAAAACATTTTTACAAAGTCCACATTTGGACTGCCAGAGAATATCTGATTTTTCTCCCGTTTCCACACTGAAATAACGATTTAAAGCAACAAAGAGAATCTGAGAAAAGCTCCTGCAGAGATGCTGATGTTTTCTAGTGGAAAATTCACAATCTGTGGATTTGTTTTTGTTTTTCTACTGCCTTTTATTGGCTTGTCTCACCAGCTACTCTGTCACACAGGTAAGGAGAGCCAGCGGCCTGTGGCACACGAGTGTTTGGGAGAGGTTCTGCGAAACCTACGGCAGGTCATCAACACGTACCCACTACTGAACACTGTGGAGATCCTCACTGCTGCTGGGAAGCTCATCTCCAAGGTTAAAGGTGAGCTGGGTAAAGAGAAGGAGGGATGGGGGGAGGAAACATGCTGTAACCTGAACATCTTATCGCCGTTTCAGGTTTTCACTATGAGGCGCCCAATGAGACGGACAAGAAAGAATTTGAGAAGGCCATTGAGACTATTGCAGTCGCCTTTAGTGGCAAGTAAGTACCTTTTAGCAAAATGGATATTTAGCAGCTGTGATTGAAACTGGTTGTTTTAGTTTGAGCGAACGGTTTGACTCTGATGGCGTCTAAACCTTATGACCCGTATCCCACATGCAGACGACTGCAATGCTGAGTGTGTAGTAGTGAGCTGAGAGTCTGATGTTGGGAACCTGTGAGAAGTGAGTTGTTGGTGACACATTTGCATAAGCCAAGCTGAAAACAGGAAGTGGTTGTTTTTTTTCATCTACTGTCAAAAAAACCAAAACCTGAAACTGCTGTTGACTACCTGAGCTCTAACGGCACAGATTGCACAGCCTGAGCCCATAAGGCAGCGTGAGAATAATCGCTGGATTTTTGACAAACACAGGCAGAAACCAGATCAAAAGGCCAATTAAAATGATGGTGATTAGGTTGTTTTAGTCTTTTGTTTTCTCAGACGTAAACCTGCGAAGGAGAGAGAGAGAGTAGAGTGTCTGTGCCATCTCAGAGCTTTAGACAGCTGTCGGTTTTAGGAGGAAGTGAGCTGGCAGAGGCAGTTGAAATCAGCTTCACAAGCCTGTTTCCTCATTCCCTCCTCTGCTCTTCCTCCCACCAACTTTTCTGTCACAACAAACAAAACAAAACAAAAAAAAAAGTTTAACAAGGAGTGTTGACTTTTATTCTTTACCCAATATGTTACCAAACAGCCCAGTTCCAAAGGAAATGAGCTTTCTGACTTCACAGAAAAACGATCAAACCCGATAGAGGTGATTTGGTTCAAGACTTTATCTTTGTCACTTCCTGTATCTGGTGTACCTGCAAAAGGTTTCACATTGGGCTCAGACCTCCTTCCCTTTTTTTTCTTTTCTCCCCTAAAAACTGCTTTGCTGTAAACAAAAGCACCAGCTTCTTCCTCGACGCTACATTCTCCCTCTGAAAGGTGCTTCGGAAGAGATGAGACGGCATGAATATTCAGTGCATGAATTACTGCATCAGTGCGATGTAGCATAGAGGTGATCAGCCTCTGCTAGCCCTTCGCCTGTCTGCATTGTAGATTCTTCATAGGGTTTGGGTCAGGGTACTTCTACTGGTCCAGCACAGTGGTTACCATGGCCACCAAACCAGTTTATGTAGTTTTTTGGTATGATGGACAGATTCTAAGTCCTGCTGCAAAAGGAAGTTAGTATCTCCATAAAGGTGAGGGGGAGTGTTGGCCTAGTTGGTTAGAGCAGTGCACTTGTGCTCAGAGAAAGTTGCAAGTATCCGGTTTGAATCCCACTGCCTCCACTCTGCCCTTAACCCCACGCTGCTCCCCGGGCGCCGCACAGTGGCAGCCCACTGCTCCCCAAAGGGATGGGTTCAATGCAGAGGCTAATTTCTCCAATGTGAGATCAATAAAGTTCAATCATATCATATAAGCTTTTGAGCAGAAGGAAGCATGAGGTGCTCTAAAAATTCCCGGAACATGTGAGCACCCAACTGTGAACAACAATCATCTTAGCTTCAGGATAAATGAAAAGTCAAACTGTGCTTTCATCATAAATATGGACTTTGGACTCCTGCAGCACTATTTACTTAATACCAACCCACCTTTTCCAACCACTTTGTATTATTACCCATGATAGTATGACTCTAAACAAACAGCCTTTTGAGGCTTTCTCTCGCCTCAGAGAGTATTTGTTTAACTGTCTGAGACATCAGGCCATAATCTAACTCTTCTGTAACATTAGAAAACATGAACGCTGTGATTTAAATCTGCTGCAAATGATAAAATAATAAAATAACTCATTGAGGTGTTTCCTTGTGTTCTCCTGCAGTGTGTCTGAGCTGCTGATGGGAGAGGTGGACAGCAGCACGCTGCTCTCCCTGCTGCCCACGGAGAAAAGCAGGGTGCGTCTGGGACCAGACATCCCACATGTCGATTTAACGCGTCTCTAAGACTTTTATTATCAGAGTGTTTCAGTGGCAGAAATTGGAAAAAAAAAAAACAACAACAAAAAAGGCTGTGTTTTTTGTGTGCTTTCAGTCGATGGAGAACCTGTATGCTGCTGGAGGCCAGGGAGTTGAAGGTCACTTTAGGAGCGACCTGCAGGACAGCGGTAGGCTTCCCAAAGTCTTCCTGAAAAAGCTGAAATATTATGTTTTCATTTCTGCACCCAATAAATTTAACAGATTATCTCTAATTCAACCAAAGTAATCTCTCTTTATTCAGTTTTCTGCTGTTCAGCAGTTGATCTGCTAATATAAATTTCACTGGACAGTAATGATATCAGTCTACATTAGACCACAGTTGGAGGAAAAACCTGCATTTATTTTTCACGGACTGACGGATGTTTGCGTGTCGTTCTGCAGGCAGAGTTGAGGAAGTGGATGTGATTCTCCAGCGCAGTGAGGGAGGGGTGGACTCGGCTCTGCTCTATGCCAAAACCATTTCCAAGTACATGAAGGACCTGATAAGTTATGTGGAAAGGAGAACCTCATTGGGTAAGTGGCAACGTGTCAAGTCAAGGCTATTGGAGGGCAAATATCCTAAGTAGAAGTTTATAGGAAAGGTTTTCAAGCTTTATTTCTGGCTGTCTGGGGTTCACGGTGCTTTGCTGAAGTCTTTTATTGGAAGGGTTAGAGTATTTTGAACTTTCCAACCAAAGGTTTCAGCTACTTTCAGGGGACTTTATCTGGCAGATGATTGTGAGGGGAAGGAAAAGGTCTTCCTTTAAAAATAAAGAATGTGAAAGAGGGCGTTAACGTTAACAATTAAGATAAAATGAACAATCAAGGTCCAGTTCTAAAGCTGAGCTGTAGAGCTGCTATCTGAACAAATCCAGCAGCAACAAGTGGAGATATGGATTCAAATCATCTTTCTTCCATTTTTCTGCACCGCTGTTAGTATCACAGTTTGTGATTTGACATATTTTATGCCTGTGTGAAATGCAGAATTAAACTGTTTCACCCTTTGAAAACCACAAGGGGGAGCCACAATGCTAAGAGATTTTGCTCCTCTATATTTACAGAGGCAGACTTCGCCAAAAGCCTCCAGAAAATATACCAGTCCTGCAAACACAGCATAACACACGTAAATCCTCCTCATCCGATTTCCAAATATGCCAAATAAAAAGACTTGTTCTTTAGATCTTCTGACAGTGATGTGTTGCTCCCTTTAGCCCCACATGCCCCTGTTCTCCATCTACTCTCTGGCCCTGGAGCAGGACCATGAACAGAGCGTAGGGCTTCAGAACGCCAACATGACTCTGCACGATCAGACTTTCGTTCAGGTAAACGCAGATTCTGAATCAGAGAGCTTTTCGTTTTTGATCCCACCTCCTGACATCCCACCTGATAAGCTGCCTTCCAATCACAGCCTCTGATGCAGCGCAAGCAGGAGCACGAGAAGAAGAGGAAGGAAATCAAAGAAAACTGGATACGAGCCAAGAGAAAACTGGTAGGGCGTTTTCAAATTGACCCAATTGATTTTGATTTGTGGCAGGAAATTGCAACCCAGATGCATCCTTTTTTTTTTTTTTTTTTTTTTTGGTAAGCTTGAATGTGAGGCAAACCTGCGAAGAGCCAAGCAAGCTTACATTGGCCGCTACGAGGAGTACGAGAAGGCCAAAACAGCAGCCTGTAAAGCTGAGGAGGAGGGAGGAGGATCCACTGCAAAGTCTGTGGAGAAGAAGAAGCGCGCTGAGGAAGAGGCTCGTAACAAGGTCTGGACCAACATTTCAACTTCTCCACAGTGGCGCCACCTGGGGGTGGCCACCCTGTGCAATGCCCAGGCCACCCCACTCGCCAGTGTAGAGTGTAGTAGCATCAGTTTAGCATTTCATCCCATTATGCATAGCCATCAATGTAATACTCATATCTTGGGTTATTTTGTGATTTTTAAATCTTTATGATTTTTACAGGCTTATTTACCACAATAGTAGATTCAAACCCTGAAATTATGGCTTTTAGTTTCAGTGGCCACCCCAAGATTTTTATTGGCCCCATCTGCCCTACCCATGAAACATTTCTCTTAATCTTTTCACACATATCTTTCTTGCTATTATAAATCGAGTGCAACATGTTTAACTTGAGCCGGTTGATTTGACAGACCTAGAAAATAAGCTAAAGCAAATGCATTGAATATTTGTTTGCATGGTTCCACAGGCTGTGGAGGCGGAGGCCACCTACAGAACATGCATAGCAGACGCCACCACTCAGCAGCTGGAGCTGGAACACACAAAGGTGACGGTGCTGCGGCAGCTTCAGGACGTCATCAAACAGAGCGACCAGACGCTCCGCTCGGTCAGCACGCACACACACTCATCCAATCCCCTTCCCCGTCTCTGCATAGACGTCTTTAACCCCCGTACCTTCATCCTGCAGGCCACCATATCCTACTACCAGCTAATGCACATGCAGACGGTGGCGTTGCCCGTCCACTACCAGACTCTCTGCGAGAGCAGTAAGCTCTACGACCCTGGCCAACAATACGCAGCACATGTGCGAGACCTGCAGCTCCCTGAGCAGCCTGTAGTCCACTACTCATTTGAGACGTACTCCCCATCCAACTCTTCAAGGTACAGCTAATCGGCACTCGCAAAAAACACAGAGGTTTGCCACAAATTATAGTTGCATTCTCAAACCAAAGTTTAACCTCTTACACCCTCAGGGGGTATAAATAAATTTCTGCCTGACAAAACACACAAAAGTAAATAACTTATAGCCTCACAGCTATTAGATTTAAGAAGAAACTTTTGGTACCTCTGTAAAGGTAAGATGTCATAGAATGGTTTTCTGGTCTCAGCACCATTGTAGCTTTGACCCTGCCTGAAATATTAGGGACAAAATACAAAATATTTTGCATTTTTTGAACCTCGCCAAAATTTTCTTTGAAATAAACATTGCAAAACACTACCAAAATATTATTTATAGCACAAAAAAGTAGTACAGACTTTTAAATCTAAACGTTGTGTAAAAAATATACCAAATTTGGACTCAATCAGATGAATCATATTTATTTTAGAATGGTATTAGTGAGAAATGTCTTAGGCGGAGGGGCCATTTTTGCACATTTATCCAAAAATGTCACCAAACTGTGCCAAATGTGTTTTTTACATCAATACTGGGGGTTTGTTAAAATTACGAGATCACGTAGCAGCTGGACCCACCGGTGGGTCCGCAGGGTTCTAGGGGTTAAGACAGAAATCACCCTTATCACATTTCAAAAAGTCATTTTTCCTTAAAATAAGTGCATTTTTTTCTTGAGGAGCTAAGTGAGACACTTTACCAATGGACCAAGATAATTTACACATAAAATAATTAACAACTGCATTGTGTTATTTCTAGTGCATATTATCTATTTATCTTAAGTAGGGCTGCAAATAACAATTATTTTGCAAATCAATTAATCTTTCAATTCTTCTTTTAGATTTATCAATTAATAATCAGATAGTAAAAGGTTCCTTAAAGAAGACCTTTTTAAGAAATTAACCCAGGTGAAACTAAACCTTTCCCACTGGAGGAGTTCTGGATAAAGTAGATTGACAGACAGAATATTTTTATCGTAAATGAAAAATGTTTAATTTTTTTTTTTTCCCCCAGTCTTGGTATAGCTACTTTTATAAGTGGGTTGCTATGTCAGCTAAACGCATTTTTAGAGTCTCTATACTCAACTTGACAATTAAATGATTACTAAATTAGTTGTCCGATTAATTGTTTCAGCCTTATTTTTAAGATTAAAAACTATCATTCCATTGGCAGATCATCTTATTTACCTAATCAAGGGTAAATACACTTAATTTAAGTAATTTTTATTTATTTATAGGTCGTTTTTGCTGTTCAGAGGTGTTAACTGTGTATTTTTTGTTTTGGATGAACTGCCTTTTTTCTATATACAATTAAAATTAAGTACAATAAACTCTTTAGTTTTACTGGGACCAAAATTGAGGGAACACTGTAGGTATGACTTCACATTCATGGAACAGACATCAGGTTAGACGCTAAGCTGTGGTGGAAAGTAACTATGTACATTTACTTGTTAATTGTACTTAAGTACAAATCTGAGTATCTTCTTTTTACTTTTGTATTTTTATTTTTTTTATTTTGGGTTACTAATAACTCCACAACATTTCTAGGAAGCTTCTAGTTCGTTGTTACTTTTGAAATGCAGTTTAAACATGGCAGATAGCTTTTAGGACTGAATCTGGACGCCACTGTTTTACAGATTTAATGACATTCCACACATGAGAAACTCATGCCAGATATTATTTGTAGTTTATACATTGAATTAAGGCGTTAGTTGTTTCCATGTGGCCAAGTTGTTCAGTAGGATGAGTTGTGGTTTCTTGGTGCTGATAGATTCAACCTTAAACCTTTATTCCACAGTGAAATCAAGACACTCCTGGTTTCTTTTTAAATAAGAAATAATCCAAATAACTGTCCTTATTTCTTTAGCCTTTTTTTGCAGAAGTTCAGATTGTGTAGAATTTGTAGTGGTTTCCTAAAGTTACAAGGTTCTTTAAATTTACTCTGAAAAGGACACAGAACTGCACTGATATTAGTAAATTTAAATTTTGAATACTTAAGTACTTTCAATAGTGAGTACTTCAGGTTTTTTTTGACTAATAGATGAGCGAGCAACTTTTACTTGTAGTTGAGGAAGATTTAATTATGAGTATTAATACTTTTATTGAAGTACTACTCCTGAGTACTTTGTCCACCACTGACACTAAGACAAATTATCTGATTTCAGCCATGGCCACAGACCAAGAAACGACAGTTTCAACACCGATTCGCATTCGACTCAAAGCGAAGTTATTTCCATCAATGTGGATCCCACTGCTGGAGAGACGGAGGCTCAACGCAAAAGTAAACCGCCCTGAAAAAACTCTGGATGTTGCTTTAAGGGTTAAAGAGCTGTGGTACTGTTCGGATCTTTTTCCTCATGCTGTTGTTTTCCCGTTTCCAAAGGACAAGGCCACAAATCCTGGGGTTCCACCGTGAGCAACGACAGTGTGGGAGACGCGGTGCTGGATTCTCCGACCGCCAGCACCAGTGAGTCTGAAATCTGTTATGTAAACACGTTGACAGAAACATGAAGACTTGTTCCTCTGATTTTGAAAATATAACATTGTTTTAAAGGTTTGTTTTGAAATGATAAATCATGATGTTGGATGTGCAACTACAAAATTAATTTCCTAAAGAATTAAGATTTCATTATGAATATTGCTCATCTGGTGATAAATACATGCACCTTATAAAAACAATGAACCTTTCACCTTTAGGTGACATTTCCAAAATGGCTCGAACGTCGTCGACAGGAACGATGTCATCGGATGAGGAGGCTGATGAGAAAGATGGAAACGTTTCATCATTTGAAACCCCAAGTAGGTTTTTAACAGAGAATCCATTTTTTTCCTGCCGTCCTGTGTGACGCCGGTTTCTCCTTAACGGAGTCTGATCCTTCTGTGCAGATATTAATGGCATGGATCCAGAGGTGGCGGTCTCCACCAGACCGTTCCGGAACATCGGCTTGTCTAAAGCGGCCCAAACCCACAAACTAAAGAAGCTTCGGACTCCGTCCAAGTGTCGGGAATGTGACAGCTACGTTTATTTCCAGGGGGCCGAGTGCGAAGAAGTGAGTCCATTATTATGCTTTATAAACATAGCAGACATCTTTACATTGATCATTTAATTATCATTAATCAACTCACTCACTTTGCTGTTCTCACTGAAATAAACACGCTGATTTTCCTGATTTTTCACCTAAAAATATAGACATTCAAGATAGCAATATAGTGTTAGACAGGGCGGTTCCAAGTAGGCCTGATCCAATTAATCTGATTAATTGATTATCTTCAACTAATTTGGTAATCGATTAATCGTTAAGTGGAGTATAGAGATTCTAAACATGCCTTTAGCTGACAGAACAATCCACTAAGAGCAGTGATTATATCAAGATCGTTAAATAATATACCGGTATGTACATTTTGTATTTAGGATAAAAAAAAAATATATATATATATATATATATATATATATATATATATCTTTCATCTGTCAGTGGAAAAGTTTTAAGTTTCACTTGGTTTAATTTTTTAAGAAGTCTTCTTTAAGCAACATTTGGCTATCTGATTATTAATCAATTAATTGAAAAAAACAACGGACAGATTAATCGATTTGCAAAATAATGGTTAGTTACAGCCCTGGTTCCAAGCCTCCAGGGGACCCTAAGCAAAATATACTTTTGATGTCCTCTATTTGCAATCAACAGTTCAGTAAACAATGAACTCCCTGCAGCTCTGGCAGGGTGGTTTGCAGTCTCTTTCTCTGTGTTTATATGACTCATCGAGTGCAGCGGTCTGCAACATTTACAGTCCAAAGAGCCATTTTTACATTCAGTCCAACTAAAACTTGTTTAGAGCTGAACATTTTACATTATCTAAAGGGATATCTATCTTTGTTTTGTAATCATCACTGTGCTGTTTCTAAAAAAAAATAAATATATATATAAGATTTTGTGAAAAGAAAATAAACTTTTAATAGTTTTCTAAAATCTTTGGAAAATATAAAAAAATAATTAAAATCCAAAATATATTTCTGTTATATTTAGATTCTATTTATTGTGGAAATCCAACCCTTTTTTTTTTCAGTATATCTATTTTCCAAAGATTATCTGGCTCTTCATCATCGTTTCATCAGAGCGATGAAGAGCCATAGTGAGGCGTCTAAAGAGCCATAGGTTGCAGACTCCTGATCCACTGTTACTTTATTTACTGTAAAAGTGTCACATGGTTTAAAGTAATATTGAAAAACGAATCAGTAGTCCAACAACAATAAACCACAACATAGCTTTGAATAAAAAAGAAAATAAAACCAGACATAGTAAAAATCAAATACGAAAAATATCCTAAATTTTATTGAATAATGGAAATAAAAGGTTAGAAAATAAAACAAAGCTTAATAATTGATTCTTAAAACTTTATACTAAAAGCCTTATTTGAAACAAATTATGTTTATCTAATCGTTAATTTATGTCTTCCTCTTCCTTTAAACCGGTCCTTCCCAGCTTTTCTGTTTGCAAAGTCATTAAAGACGTCGCTGCAGGAAATCTAATGATCACTGCTGCCAACTTCATCCTTCTACCATTAAAGATTAATTAAAACATTCACAGAAAGAGAACATGCAGCGATCCTTAGAGCTACGCAAAGATTTGGATAGAACTCGTGTCTCATTTTGAGCTTTAGGACGTCTAGAAGGTCCTCCATCTTTGAGGCCAGTGAGCTCTCATCACTATCAGACTGTTCGTCTATGAAGCTTAGGCTGGTCCTTTCATGTTTGCGTATCAATTGGGCCTCAAAACCAGTCATTTTTCAATTCTAAATGATGAATTTTACAAGATATATTTATTTAAAAATTAAAAATTTCATCAGGAAATATTTTTTTATTATTGTATTTATATGTGAATCAAATGCCTACACAAAAACAAATTGTCCTTAGTGGCCCCCCACCGGCCCCTAGTTCTTCCAGGCCCTGGGTTGTTGCTCATATCACTTGTGCTTTGGCCATAGTGCAAACAAAATGTTTGTATAAACTTTGTAAATGCTGAAAGTGGGTCAAAATCGACCTCAGAGGATGCAGTGGTTATTAAAACCCATGAGTCATAGTAGCTTTATTGGATAACCTCATTTGATCCTCCAGCAAAACGCTAAACTCGCAAAAGTTTTCACACAATGGAAATGGAGCAGCTTCAGATGCAACAATACATTTATTATTGAGCCAAGCAAAGTTATCCCTGCTGTAGAGCCTGATTTAAGCAGATAAAACCATTCAGATCATGAACATGGTGCCACCAGGAGGATGAGCGAGGCATTGCTCTGGTTCAGGTAGCATTACAGTCCTATGTGTGCGGACACCTTCTTCATATTCCTCCCCTGGTTAAACAACTTAAAAAAAAAAAAAAACAAAAAAAACCCCCCAAAAAAAACGCCTCCCAAAAAAGGAAGGGGAAAAGGAATTAAAAGGAAAAAGAACCGTTTAAAAAAAAAAACGTAAAATGTTTCACCCGTTCAGCTCAAAAAAAGCAAACCGTTGGTTTCTGTCAGGTTTATGAGGTTGGATCTAATGCCAGAAAAAGACGACCTGGATGTTTGTCACGGATTACTAAAGTTTTTAATAGACTTTGGTCTTTTTAAAATTTATTTTGAAATACTAGTCCACATCCACAGGAAGACAGCAAAGGTTTCATATCTGATCTAAATATAAAGTCCTCATTCAACGTCCAGGTCCACTTCATGTTTTTTGGGGCTTTTTGTAAACGCATACACGAACAGCTGTGACATGTCTGGTTTTAACTTTCCTGCCATGATATATAGTCACAAAAAAAACTATTTCATTTATGCAATAAATGAGAAACGCACCTCAGGTAAATTCAGGCCAATAAAACTGGGTGTAGATGTTGCACTAGAGACCAAGTATCCAGATTTTAGCTATCGAAATGTTAAAATCGGCAGTGCCAGGCTAATATCTCCACCTGCTGTTACACTGTGTCCAACTTCCTTTTGCCAACAGGTTCTTAGTTCCCAAGTTTGGAGAAAACAAAGACGCATTCTGTCCATTCCTCAGAATTAACTTTAATCAGCAAGTTTTCTTAAAACAAACAAGCAAACTTTCATCGGTTTTCCATCACTATCATATTCAACGGTACGAATGAAACCCAACTTTATAAAACCATGTGTAAAAGAATAACGGTACAAGACAAGAGAACAAAACAGGATGAAGGCAGTGTGAACAAGTGATGATCGTTTTTTTCCTGAGTAAATGCTATCCGATTATTATTCGAAAAAATTCGACAGATTAATCGATTTGCAAAATAATCATTAGTTGCAGCCCTACTTTACACAACATAGAAATTAAATATTGTATTTTATAGGGAGTGTTTGCAATGAGAAAATATATTAATGGTAAAATATGTTTCTTTTTATGTTTGTCTTTTTCCCCACTAAATAGATGGACTCATAATAAAACTATTTTTTCTTTTTCTTTTGCACATTTTCAAGGCTGATAACAAATAATTTACCAGAAACTGATTTTGAGGAAGTAGCAATGACTGGGTGCCGTCCTAATGGAAAACATCTGGATAAATGGTTTTCCTCTTCTCCCCCAGTGTTTCCTGGCATGTCATAAGCGCTGCCTGGAGACCCTCGCCATCCAGTGTGGCCATAAGAAGCTGCAGGGCCGCCTACAGCTGTTCGGCAGGGATTTCACCCAGGTAGCGAGCTGCGCCAGCGATGGAATCCCCTTCATCATCACAAAGTGCATCTCTGAGATAGAGAGACGTGCACTGAAGATGAAGGTGAGGCGGCACTGATTTAGATGTTTGAGTCGGTGTTGGAGCCTCTGGTTGGAAACGCTGCTTCCTCTTTACAGGGCATCTATAGGGTGAATGGCGTGAAAACACGCGTGGAGAAACTCTGTCAGGCCTTTGAGAACGGCAAGGAGCTGGTGGAGCTGTCTCAGTGTTCACCGCATGACATCAGCAACGTCCTCAAGCTTTACCTCAGACAGGTACCAAAGTACCCTATTGAAGGCCATTGTTGGGTCTTTAAAGAAGAACGGAGTGTCGATGCTAAATTATGCCTCCTGGTCTTTGAATTCTGTCACTGCTTAAATACCAGAGCATAGAATCCATACAGGGATTATTCAGTTATTATTACTTATTTATTTTTGAGTCACGTCAGTGTGATTAAACATTTTATTACGGAGTTATTAACCAGTTTAAAATGTAATGAAAGGAAAACAAGCAGAGTTGGTGTAGATCCAAGACTTTCAGGTCAGGGAACATCTGCATAGTCAGGATACAAACTGCTCAATTTGATCTAAATAAGTTTCACAGATCTTCCTGTTTCTTTGCAACTAGGGCTGAAAAAATGAATCGGATTAATCGCATTTAACCAAGTATTTAAATAGGCAGCAACTAATCGAGTTATCGATTAATCGTTAAATGGAGTGTAGAGACTGTAAAACGTGTCTTAGAGCACTAAAATCAAAATTGTAAAAAATATGAAATATTTTGTTTTTAAGATTTAAAACAAAACAAAAAAAAATTTTCCGTCTGTCAATATGCTTGATGCAGAACAACTGAAGTAGGAAAGTTTTAGTTTCTTCAGGTTCGATTTTATAAAAAGTCCTTAAGGAATCTTTGGCTATCTGATTATTAGTCGATTAATTGAAAAAATAATTAATAGTTGCAGCCCTTAATAAGGAAAAGTTGGATTTTGTGTTGGGCCAGTTCCTCAGTAGGACACCAGGGGGCAGTGCTGAGCAGCCAAAGCCTTCAGAAATTAACAATTTAATAAATCTAACTTGGAGGCTTAAGTGGTTTTAATTTTACTACTGAAAGAGCAGTAATGAGTCAGAGTATGAAACTTTTATGGTCTGAAGCTAAACTTTAATGTATGTATAATTATCTGTTGGATAACAAATCAGTAAATGAGATGAGGACTAAAACTGGGGGAGCTTGGATAGAAGCTAAATTGCATTTTTTTAGTGTTTCTTTTTTTCTGTTTTCTACATTTGGATCTTCTGTTTCCTGTTCCTTTCAGCTGCCGGAGCCCATCATGCCTTTCCGTCTCTACAACACACTTATGGGTCTGGCCAAGGAAAGTCTGCAGAGCGAAGGAGACACGCCTGAGGGAGAGGAGGCGGAGTCCAGCGGCCCCACCCCAGCCGTGGTCAGGGGGCCCGAGCTGGTGGACCTGGGGCCCAGCACAGACCCAGAAATCCTTGTCTTGGTGGACAGCCTGAGGGATCTTGTGAAGGAACTGCCCAAACCTAACTTTGCTACGTTGCGGTACATCATCCGCCATCTTCGAAGGTCAGCTGGGATAACTTGAATCGATTCAGGTCACAAGTTGCCCCCGCTTAACATTTCTGTTTTATCCTCGTAGGATTGCAGAGCTGGAGGAGGATAACAAGATGAGTCCCAGTAACTTGGGTATTGTGTTTGGGCCCTCCCTGATGCGACCTCGTCCAACCGGGGCCACGATATCCCTGTCCTCCCTGGTAGATTATCCACACCAGGCCCGCATCGTGGAGGCCCTCGTTGTGTTCTATTCTTCCATTTTCCAGATGAAAACTTCACAGACCAACAAAGAAACCCCCTCCACATCCAGCTCTATGCAGCAGGTAGGGGCTGCAAATACTTCCTTCATTTGGTCAGAAAGTTTAAGATCTCAGGCTCTAAACTCTCCTCTGCAGGGCTGAGAATTTATTTTCTCATTAAAATGCAGTCAGATCAACAGCGTCTTGTACAAAAAATATGTCTGAAAAGAAATGTACACATTTTCTGAACTGTAGCAGAAAGTTACCCCTTTATGTGGAACACAGTGGTGGAAGCACCATGCTGTGGGAATTCTTTACTGCAGGGAGAGGGAGTAAACAGGGACATGGACAGGAGGTCATTAGAGCTAATATAAGGATGACAGAAGTCTACAGAAGATAAAACTGAATAAACTGGTTCAAACCAGATTTGTGTTTAAAAAAAAGACCCAAAGTCCAGATCTGAATCAGTTAGAATATGAGGGAAGATTTAATGGTTGTTTTTCAACGTTCTTCATTCAATCTGACCTAAAAGGAGCAGATTTCCACAGAATGAGATAAAGGCTTTTATATTAACCCTTTTAAAGACTTCTAGGAGTCACAGCACCAAAGTGACTGAGCCGGTTAGGCTGTGAACACTGATGAACTGAACTCTATTCAGAATATTCTGAAAAGCTTTCCATTCACTTTAGTTATGGTCCATTACATAATGGACGGCCATAACACTTCCCTTATAAATCATGCAGGAATAACTATTTTATTTATGTACACTAGGTAATTTCATTATATAAATTGAATGACTCCCTGTGTGGTTTCTTGGGTCCTTTATATTAATCTTTTTGGTAATTTTCTGTTTTGATCAATATGAAAATATCCAGCTTGCTTTAATGTTTTTCACGTTTTTAATCAAGCAGGAAAATGTTTCCAATGAAAAGACGGGAAGCCCCGGAGACGGAGAGGAGACCGAATGCAAAGAGGAGCAGAACAAACCGGACTCTGACAAGCAGGAGGAAGGCTGTGGTGAGTGAAGGCCAGAGGTGTCAAAAGTATTCATGTTTATTTATCAGGTTAGACTCCTTTTTTTTCTTTTTTTTTATTTAAAAAACACTTTTTAAAACTGCTTAAAAGTATAAAACTAAAAGTAATGCAGGAAGAAATAAGGACATAAGTTTTACTGCACTCTATTAAATGAACACTTTTCTACAATTCTGGATGACAACTTCCTTAGACTTCATTTTCTTAGTTTTATAATTTATGGTAACAGTGACAGATTTAACTTTGCATCTTGAAAAAACTATTTATTTTGGTATGTGGTGAACAACAAGTTGGGGCAGCAGCGAGACCAACCGCAAAGCAATTATTATGGATGAAATAAATAATTTAGATGGTTTTTATTGTTTCTAAATACCAACAGGCCAAAATTAAATGGAGCTGAAATGAAACAAATCTAATGAGTCCGTTTTTAAAATGTAAGCAATAGAAGTAAAAAGTTGTCCAAAAATAATTAGTCTACTTAAGTATGGTAACGAAGTATTTGTACTTTGTTTCTTGACACCTGTTGGTATCGTCTTTGAGCAACCTGGAATTTTAGGGTTAAAGAAACTATTTTGTTTTTAATTTGTTTCTAGGAAGTTCTTTGGGATCTCTGGGCTCCAGCGAGCAGCTCCCCGACTCCGACTCAGAGCTGGACGAGAGCAGCCGCAGATCCAGCAGGCTGGTGAAGCAGGAGAGCGAGCTCAGCATGGACGACGACCAGCTGAGTAACAGGGACAGCATGGACCTGTCCGGTCACTCTGCCGCCCACACCGACCCGGAGCAGGAGGCAGAACAGGACCAGGACACCTCTGAGGGAGGAGACCCCCCCGATCTGCCGGACAGCAGGCCTCCAGATGACGAGGGGGACGTAGCGGAGCAGGAAGTGACGACCTCACTGGCCGAGCTAAATGTGAACCAGTCCAACAACAACCAGCCTGGCTCTCCTGCAGCGAGGGTCCCACTGGCCCGTCTGTGTGGGAAGAATCTGCCCCTGACCAGAAGCCGAGACACGGAGCCCGAGTTTGTCTGATCTCAGGATTTTAAGTTAAATCAGCAGAATGTGGAGTTACAAATAAATAAATGAGGTTTTATTCATTAAAGTCAAGAACTGAGTTTTTAATCTGCTTATATATTGAGGTCATGATCCTGCATAGAAACGTCTCTACGCTTTCTGGTTAATTCACTTTGACTATACTTGTACTTATTTTCAGTTTTTACTTGGATCAAAGTGTATAAAGTCCAAACATTTCAAGCAGTTTGCTTTTTAAAGAGCTGTGAAATTTTAAACTTAAGCAGTTTCTTATGAATGTTTCCTGTCTCAACTGTCATGTCTGACCTATTTTAATAAAGATTGATTTTATCTTATAACTTTACTGATTAGTATTTCTGTTGTGCGTTATTGTCCAAAAGTGGAATAAAGAGCCGATGCAGAGCAGGAAGAGTGTAGATTTCTGCCACTATGATGTTGCTATGGTGATGAGCGTAGAGGAGGAAGTACTAGCATGCAAAACGCAACGTAAAAAATAGAGCATTAGAAGCTTCATGCAGCCGCAGCAGCAGCATGCCCTTCAAAAGGAAAAAGAAGGTAAGCTCTTACATCCTTCACAGCTGAATGAATTGTGCTTTAGGCAGCTTTTTAAATAAAATAAAGTAGATCAGGTTAAATTTTGACTTTATTTTACAAAAAGAAAAACAGTAAATAATGGAATCTTGAAGTTAAAAAGCAAAGATTTTCCACACAAGTAAAAAATGGACTTCATGGTCTCTGAAAGTCGAGTCAGGTGATCTAGGACAGAAGACAGAAAAAAATCCATTTAGATTCTGCAAGAGTTTTAGACAAATTAGAAGAATATATATATATAAGTACAAGTTTATTTAAAAGTAGTGTTGCACCGATTCCAGTATCAGGCGGGACCCCGATCCAGCACTAAAATATTGGCATCGGCGAGAACCAACTAATAGGGCAACGACACCATTCTGATGTTTGTATTTCACTTGAACGAAGAGCCTTCTCTCTCCCGACACTCAGTGTTAACTTTCGCTATGAGCTCCAGACCAATGAGAGCGGGCCAATAGCTGCTCTTAACCAATGACTGGGCAGCTTTTTCATGCGGTGGGAAAACCAACCAGGATTAGAAAATGTCTGTGGTGAGGAAGTATTTAGTCACAGAAACGCCGGCGAGTACGTTGGCTAAATGCACGATTTGCATGAAAGAGAGGTGGAGTGAAACCAGGCAGTTTCAATACCTCAAACCTGATCAAACATTGCCATGATGGCAATTATTTTACATCCAGGTAGAATGCAGTTCTTCATATACACATCAATTTCAAACAGATGGTATCGGTATGGGCGGATACTGCACAGCTAGGTATCAGGGCCAAAAAAATGGCATCGGTGCAACACTATTTAAAAGCTAACGTACCTTTCCGTCACTGGACCAGCCTGTAGGTGATGTACCTTCCTGCTGTTTCACTGGGTCTGATGATTTTAACAACCTGGAAAGAAAAAAAACATCTGAAATGGTTTTTACAGCCTTACAGCAGTGATGGTGAGAGATCCAAGTATTCAAATTAGACAGCAGTAAAAGGAACTGGCAGAGTTAGTTTGGACAAAGGGTTCCCTTTAAAGTGCAGCAATGATGCGCATCTGTGGGGTTTTTTTGTTTTAATCTGAGCTGCATCTATAAAAACAAATTTTTCTTTTTGGGAAATCCAAAATCGCCTATTTTGCATACCCAAATGGAAAAGCAAATAACTGATGAACTGTAAGCCCAAATTAAACGTGTGATACGTTATTTGAAATCTAACACCTTCTACTTTCTGAATATGTAGATGAAGATGTATGGGTGAATAAAACACCCAATCTGCATCAGTTCAAACATGACTCAAAGTTGTTTTTTTATGCTCGAAAATCAGTCTTTTTTGAACAGCAGTAATAAAGACATGCCTGCTTGTTGTTGTTCTTTGTTTTGGTATATTTTGTCATGCTGCTATATCTGTTAATTATGCTTTGGTGTTCGTTATGTCCATAAAATGAACTAGGTGGTTGAATTGTGGGGAATTTAAGCTTTCCAATGATGTCTAACAGCTATATTGGTAAACATTTTACCAGTGGAATTTTCATGCATTCCCAGTTATTAGTAAAACGGGTAGCCGGCGAGCAGCTGGGTTTTGAGAGGCTAAAGACGTTTGACCCGTTTAAAATGTCAATATTTCTCTCAGGCTCGTATTTATTACATCAGGCCAATGAATTATCAGTCCGATTTACCTGTCCTCTCTTTAGTCCAAAGTAGCGAGCCACAGGGTCTCCAGCCTGTATCCTTGGTAACTGGCTCTCCTTTAATTTACTGAAGTAAACATGTTAAGAAAAAAAAAGCATGGTCGTAAAAGAAGCTTGATACAAGAAACATCTCTGAGCTTTGCTGCAGAAACAAAAAGGATACTATCTTGCCAGAAGTTCGGTCACTTCCTCTTTTGTCATGACGATGTGTTCAGGAACAAGCTGAAAATCAAGTAGATGCAGAACTGAAACAGTGGATCATTATTTGGTGCATGGTAAAACAAACTGATTGGTGTTCACCTCGTGTTCAGTGATGTTTATAAGCAGCTCCTGCTGCAGAAACTGCTCCAGTATGTACTTGGGTGCCATGTCCACCAGAGACTGTAACACGTTTCAATTGCAATGTTTAGATAACTTCCAGGACTGTTACGTTTCCAAACATTTTTTCAACATGCAAAGCGGATCCAAATAATGTAAATGCGTTTACCTGCTTGGCTGACGGCGTCATGCCCATTTGAACAACAATAATGGCTCTAGTGATGTTCTCTTCCTGCATCCTCTGGCAGTACATTTTGATCGTTTTAATCCCCACCTTTGGTTCCTCTGGAGGGGAGGACAATTCAATTCCGTTCAGTTTAATTCTATAGCACCAATTCATTAAACATCTCATCTCAAGGCACTTTACAGTTCACCAATGATGACTTCATTCACTTTTATTTCCACCCATCAGATCAAACAAACTTGACTCAAATAAAGCAATAATACCGCTCTGTGACTTATTTCTAATGAAGGTACATAATCTTTCTCATAGACCTTTTACATTTTTCCTCATTTTAGGGCTTTTTTAAAGCCAAGTATTTTCTGTAGAATACAGCCTATCTATGGTAAACCTATGATTATTTAAATCAAAAAGGTGTTTGATCTCTCAGTAAAAGAGGACACTATTTTAAGCATAACAGACTGGTCCTTTAGACACATAACCTAAGGGTGTTTTTTCACACATCTGTTAGAAAAAACTTGCAAACAGTAACTTAGTCGACTAAAGGACCTAATATCTCATCTCATGCATCGGGCTTGTTAAGATTTTTTTTTCCCGATCTGTTGAAGACAACATATGACTCTACACATCCTTAAAGGATAGAACTTTACTTCAATTTATTGAGTTGGGTTTTTTTGTCTATTTTTTAAAAATACACTTTAAGGTAACAGAGTACATGTCAAACTAAATAATATTACTTCAGCGATAGTTTCAAGGTGTTGCTTCATGGTATATCTCGTACCATGTCTCTCGGTTGTGCTGTTCTTTTTGCATCTCGTTACAGGTGATGAAGCAGACTGTAAATGTTTTGTCATTGTCTCCTTTCTATCTCTTCTTTCTTTCATCTTTTCTCTTTTTTTCTTCTTTTTCTTCTTCTGTTTTTCTGCTCTATTTACATTGCAGTGTCCATATGAACTGTAAAACTCCCTGCATAATTATAATAAAGCAATTTATATGCATGAAACAAGTGGAGCAATATGGCAATTGCTGTACTGCTCCACTTGTGAAAGTAAAATCTGTTGGGCTCTTTTTGGCATCAAGACACTTATTCTTATTGCCACATTGCCAGACAGGACATTGTAAAAAAAAAAAAAAGAAAAAAAAAAAACGCTTTAAGCAAGTTTTATCTGGAAGATACCGGTTTGTAGTTTTCCTCTTGAATCTAATTGCTGTTCATTTGTCTGACGGGGCAAATGAAGGAGGCTCAGAAAATTAAGAAAAAAAAAATGCCAAAACATTTTTTCATGAACATAGAATACATTTTTAATCATTACTAAACTATAACCTGTAATAATATATAATTTTAACATGAAACACCATTGGGGACTTAAAATTAAACTTTGGGGGTCCCCCATCTCAGTGTGTCTCCCACCTTGGCTCACTTTTCCCTTTTGTAGTAATATACATGTGTGAGTTGGACTTTTTAAATCTACAGTAATCAAAGCAAAACACCAGTCCGATTGAGGATAGTGACATGGAAAACATAAAGCACTGCACAAACATGTTTCAGTGGTTTAGCTGGTTTTGTTCTGTTGTTACCATCATTAATCATTTATCGAAAGATACTAAATTAAAATATGTTTGTAAATACATCTATGCTAAGCAACAAGAATGGGAATAAAAGTTTCTTTCCATATTTCGTAGCATCGTCTTTTAGATTGCAAATGGATTCCCCAACAAATAGCTAATGCTGTTTGGGAACCCCTGAAGAATGAAAACATTGGTTCAGCTTGTTTGACCAAAAATTTATACCAAAATTAATATTAGAAAAATCCTCATTTATGGATCAAAGAATATATATACACCTAACTTTGATCCATTTTTATTTATTCACTAAACACATGCTGATAAAGTGTTCATGAACTAAAAAACAGAGTTTTTATTCCTTAAGCAATTATTAGATTGGAAAGAAAGAAATAAGTATTGTACAATTAAAAAAAAACCTTAAAAGTTAATTATAGGACTTGAATGCAACGTTTTCATTCTCAATACAATTGATATAAAAAAAAATGTTTAATGTCTAATGAAATATTAGGGCCAGGTTAGAGATTTATGTTTACTTTTAAATACAAGAATAAAGTCATAAAATTATGAGAATAAAGTCGTAATATTACGAGAGTAAAGTCGCAACATAATCAGAATAAAGTCCTTTTACAAGAACAAAATTGTAATATTACGAAATTCAAGTCATAAAATCACGAGAATAAAGCTGAAAATAATGAGAATGAAGTCATAACTCAACACGTTTCAGAAAGAAGCTTCATTTGCACAATCATTTCAAACTTCTGATACTGAAAATATTTTATACTGCTGCGCTAAAAACTTCATATTTCCTTATTTTTCAAACTGATGCCAAAATATAACTTCACAAGATGCTCAACATTCCTCATTTTACGGAAGAAAGTGCTTCTTGCAGGAGTTTACATAAAATATGACTTAATTCTCTTAATTTTATGAATTTATTCTTGTAGATTTACGACTTTATTCTTGTAATGCTACAATTTTATTTGTGTAATATTTATTCTCCTAATGTTGACACTTTATTGTTACATAACAACTTTAATCAGAATCAGGTTTATTTCCATTGTTAGTGAAGGAGTTCACAAACTAGGAATTTTATAATGTTATAACATTATTTTTTATAATGTTATGATTTTATTCTCGTATTATAAATAACAATAATAATCATAATCTCTAGCCTGGCCCTAATACTTTGTTGTTTTAATGTGATTCTAATATATAAGCAATATATCTTTATCCTTCTGCAAATTATTATCTTATTCTGAAATAATTTTACCTAAAGGGTTACAGTATATTTATCTCTAGTGAGGGGAAATAAATTGTCTTAATGCTGCCGCTAGGAACCAAAAATCATCCAAAAAATTCTTCTACTAGTTCTAGCATCAAGCATGATCATTTAGAAAAAACAGACTCAGATTAAGAGAAAAAGAATAAAAATAACCTTTAAACACAGCTATTTAAAGACTGAATCCTAGAGGAAAGTCTCACCAGGAAAGAAAACAAACATCTGGTCTGTGGGATCATCATTATGTGCCACTAGGACAGTAAGGTCAGTGCGTCTGGGACGGCCTTCGCTGGGTTTGTCTCCAAACTGACTCTTGAACTCATCCAGGGTCTGATCCAACTCGTCTTGTGTCACCAGATAGCCTCGATCATGGCACAGCTGTGGAGGGAATCATTAATAACTGGATTAATAACATTAATAATTGGGCTGCTCCAGTCTAACAACTAGACTTTGGTTTTATCTCTGACTTATAATGGCTATGAAAATAATAACAGTGCTGGCACATTGCAGGAACAATGTTTGTCTCATATTGAAATTAAATATACAGTTTTTGTAGAAAACTTTTTATTGACGGTGTGTTTCATCGTTAGGCTGCTACTCTAATAAACTAAAATGATTCAAAATATAAAAATAGACGCATCTAACTCAGTCAAATGTTATGGTTTCCAAACCACGGAGTGGAGCTCTGCATAGAAACAAGCTAACATGCTAAGGAAGATAACTTTCAGATCTAACGAACCTGCATGATGGTTTTACGGATCTTCCACAGCCTGTAAGTTTCCTCCTCATCATCCATGTTGTCTCAAATAACCAAATATAGCAAAATAAACACAAACTTTTCAGTTTTTTAATAGATATATCAATGTTGCTCCTTCTTTTCGACAGCGCGACGCACGCTTTCCTTCACCAGCGCAGGCTGATGGCGTCACAAGGCAGCAGCGGAATAATAGGTTAATAAAGCCACCATACTGTGAGTGGCAAGCTCATGTTTAAATCCCCAACAGGAAGCTATATCTCTTAAGTTTTTTTACTAAGGAAACGTTAAAGTTTATGTTTACGTAAATACGTTAATATTTATTTTATTTAAAAAGAATCACAGAGAAATAAATTAACTGTAAATCAAAAAATCTACAGTCGTATATATACAGTCGTATTTCAGCTCTAAAATACACCAAACAATTTTATTAGATTGAATTTGGCTTAGTACTGTAAATCAATCATTTTAATAATTGTTTTCAAAGTATTCTGCTTTTATCTATACTGCTTTTATTGTGCTTTGATAATGCACTATATTTTTTTATTTTTTTATTATTTTTTTTTTTACAGCCTTGGATTTGCTTTTAAAGTGAACTCTCTTATCCTTTTTTGCATGTTTCTGTTTTTTATATTGTTTTTATCCAGTGTACCTGACTTCAGATTCTTTCTCTAGTTTATGTGGATTAGTAAACTGTAGCTCCGCCCCCTTGCGGTCGTTTCACAACATGACTCTGCAGGGCGGAGCCTGGCAGCTGCGGCGGACATGGACCCACATCTATATAAAAGCGCCTAAAATGAGGCCCTTATATGTTATTTTGACAGTAGGAACTTTAGTGAGCAGCGGGTCTCTACTGGCGCTGATACTCTACTTTGTTTTATCCTCCACGGTAATGTAAAACTCTGATCCTTGGTCTGTATTTTGTGCGCTCCTGAGATTTCCTCACGTTTTGTAACAGTGAACAACCTGCCAGCTGTAACAGCAGATTTGTTTCCAGTGTCGCTCTCGTGTTATTGTGCTTTGATTAACGCCCCCTGGCATTGCTTTGGCCCCTGCACCGTTTCTAGCCTGTGATGTCCCTCCAGCTGCGCCACTCTGATCAGTTTGCACTGACCTGGACAAATATCCACAGTAGCAGGATAATAGATCAGGACACTCAGTTTCTCTACGTCATCAACTGTCTGTAGCTGCCATCAGCTGATAAGCATATCATCTTTAAACACAGCAGCATACATCTTTTCAAGTTCTATAACTTAATCATAGGACTTCATTAAAATAATTAGGCTATTTATACCCATTCATTTATTTATACATATATGTCTGATCACACATATCTGGATGTAAAATATCTTTTTTAATACATAAAATCCAGACATCGAGGCATTATCCCAAGCTTTGAACAACCCTGATCTTCATAAAAAAAAGGAAGCCTAACTTGGGGCTATCATCTAAACCTTGCTACCAACCAGTGAGTTTTAATCAGCAAATGAACCATGAGGCTCTGGATGGGAAAAACAGATATGTGGAAGGTGTGCAGGAGAACATAGCAAAAGGTCTGAGGACATAAAAAAATTGAAATTTGAGCTTGGAATTACTTACGCTGAAGCTGCAAAAAGGATCCCATCTCAGTTAGAAAAACCCAAACCAACAGTTCAGCACATGGCAAATTCTCCTCTGGAGAAATGTCCCAAAATTGAAGAAGACTCACTAATTTTTAAAAAGAAAGATTTTGTTCTATTCATGGTCGAAGTGATCAATTGTACTGCACAGACGACAAAAAAACCCAGAAAAAATCAAAATAATAGTGAAGGCTGCAGAAAAATATCTGGAAGTGAAAGATTTAAACTGGGAAATGGCTGAAAGCATGATGGGAAAACCAATAGGACCATCAGAAACTACAGTAGCAGAATGACAATGACTTAAAGATAAATAAAAATTATAAGGGCAAATGTGACTTAGTATTTATTATGTTGGGTTAAGTTACACAGGGTTTTTTTGTTAGTTTTTGTTTGTTTGTTTTGTTTCTGGGGTGAATTGTTTCCTGTTTCCTTGCTTTACTCCATATCAGTTGGTGCCGGTAATGCACTTCTCACAAGTTTGCCAACCGCCATATAACCACATAAGAAGAAGAAGAGGCTTTAGATGAGCTGCAGAGATCCTCATCTTAGAGGGGAGGGTCAGCTGGTGCACGAAATCCACAAAAAGGCAGGGTCACTATAAGTAAAGCAGGGGACCCAGAATATGTGGAGGAAGGTCAGCGAGACCAATATTGGCGTACGGCCAAAGTGTTTGACAGAAGACGGATAGCCTTTGTTAAAGCAAAGTAAAGCGATTGGTTGCATCTACAAGAAAAGCTCTTTTTTAGCAGAAAAGTTGGCTGTAATGAGATAATAGATGAGAAGGCCAACATGTAAGCCTTTAATAAAGTTTGCTTTTATACTACACTCTTCTGTATAACTGTATTTTTCTTTTTTGGTAATTTTATAATTTTTCTATAACAAAAACAACAGGATATTATTATCTGTCTAAATCTAAAGAGCACAGTGTGAAATAGCCCCCCCCATCAGCTTATACAACACTTTTCAGAAACCATCCAGAAAAACACAGACCCTTCTTGTTGTCTAGGATCAGGATTTGTTTGTTTTTAAGCTTTTCACTCAGATGTACTTCAACCTGCATCTGTGTTCTAAACTTGATTGGTTCCAAACTGAACTGGATTATTAATTTAATCACATTACACAATGAGTTTACGTGTTTGGTCAGGCCGTTGCACTTTGCTCCGGCTTCCTGCAGCTTTGGTTTGTTTTTTTCCTAAGATTATCAAAAGGCTTTGAACTCCGGACTGCAGGACAAGCGCTTTTTCATCTGGATTTATTTGTTTAGAACCAAGGGGGCCAAGCCTATCATTTCTGTGAATTTGGTCCCACCCCCTTGATAGACTGCAGGCACCCCAGTGGGTGCTCTCTCAGTTGTGAGCAAGAGGTTTAGAGGAGTGATTGTTTTCTCCGTCTTCAGAGGAGCAAAGTGAGAGGCAGCCATGCGCCTCATAGGGTGCACAGTGCTGCTCTCTGTCCTGCTGCAGGCGATGGTGAGACGCTGTCAAATTAGGGCTGGATCTCATTTGGATTTTTTATTAATACATGTGCTTATTTGTTTTTAATTTTATAAACAGATTTGTTTCATTGCTAAATATATGGTGGATTATATTTATATAACTATGTTTTACTAGAGGAGCTAATATTTCTCTTCTAAAAGTCTAACCTCTGTTATCTCTAACAGTCGACGCCTGCAGAGGATTGGCAGAGAGCTACATCAATTTATGACTTTAATGTCACTGACATCGATGGTAACGTGATCTCCCTTGAGAAGTACAGGTCAGTCTGATGGAGATTATTTTTACTTTACTGCGATCATCCGTCATTTTAATGTTTTTTTTTTGTGTTAATTCCTTTCAGGGGTTATGTTGTCATCATCACCAACGTTGCCTCTAAATGAGGTAAAACTCCTGTAAACTACTCTCAGTTTGCTAAGATGCACGCTAAGTACGCTGAGAGAGGTTTACGCATCCTTGCCTTCCCCTCCAACCAGTTTGGGAATCAGGTACGTTTATATTTGCTCAAATCGTACTTTATCAAATCACATAGTTTTAGAAGTACACAGAGGTTTCAAGTAACAAAGTACAAATACTTAGTTACCTTACGTAAGTAGACATTTAGTCTATCTATACTTTACTGGAGTAAATATATTTTTAGACAAATTTGTACTTTCTACTCCTTATAGTTTAGTAATAGACTCATTATTTTTGTTTTATTTAACCTCATTTTTCATTACAGCCCATTGGTATTTAAAAAATTAAAAAATTTCTTTGTGGTTGGACTCAGTGCTTCCCCAACTTGTTCTTCACCACATAACAAAAATAAATAATTTTTCAAGATGATGCTAAGTTAGATTTGACACGTCTGCTATTAGTTATAAAACTAAGAAAATTACGTGTAAGGAAGTTATCATCAGAGATGGGAAGTAACGAAGTACAAATACTTCGTTACTGTACTCAAGTAGATTTTTCTGATATTTTTACTTTACTTTACTACTTATTTTTATGGCGACTTTTTACTTCTACTCCTTACATTTTTACACAAATATCTGTACTTTCTACTCCTTACATTTTAAAAAATTGGCTCGTTACTTACTAGTTACTTACTAGTTTTGAATCATTTCAATGGAGTTACCGTTATTATTTTTCATGTCATCAATACCAAATTCAATCTAATTGGATGGGAATCTACGTTGCATTTGACGCACCACTACAAGATGAATCGACAGATTTGGCGGTATTTATTGGCGGCGAATCATTGCAGCTTGGTGGCGGTGGCGTTAGCATAGTAGTATGGACGACGAGATGATTGAAAATGAACACAACGGAGATCTAGTCCTATTGGCAGACATCCATTTAAAATGTAGGCAACGGCATGAAAAAAGTGGTTTCTACTTTTACTTTTATACTTTAAGTAAATTTACAAGCCTGTACTTTGTTACTTTTACTTGAGTAAAGAAGTTTAATCAGTACTTCCACTTTTACCAGAGTATTTTTTAACACAAGTATCTGTACTTTTACTCAAGTACGGAGAGTGAGTACTTTTGCCATCTCTGGTTATCATCCAGAATTATAGACGGTGATCCTTTAACAGTGTTGTGCAGTAACCAGTATAAGTATGAGGTTTAAAGTATCCGTCCTAACTTTTTTCTTGCATTACTTTTACTTTTATCCTTTAAGTAGTTTTAAAAATGGTACTTTTACAGTTTTACTTGAGTTAAAAACTTAATTTCTTCTTCTTCACTTCTACAAAAGTGTTGTAAAAAAAGTAGGATTTATACTTCTACTTGAGTAATAAACATTAATACTTTTGACATGCCTGGAAATATACGTTTTCTTGTTTGGGACAGTGCTGCCTGTTATCAGTTACATCTTTTTGTTGCATTTGGAGCATTCGCTGTCAGGCAGCAGGATAATCAACAACCTGCCTGCTTTTTAAAGCTCAATGTAGTTTAGAGATATATAGAGAAGTTGATTTGAAACGTTTGTCCAGAATCCGCTCAAGAAGAGAAAGTCATGTTTTTTTGCTGTATGACTAGACTGTATGCGGCAGACAAAAAATATGTATATAGTATAAGTAAGTCAGTATTTTTTGAAATGTGTGTTTTTATACAATTTTCCAATTAAGTAAGATGATTTACATTTAAACAAAAAAAAAGTCTTACTTTTGAGTGCAATGTATATAAATACTTCATGCTTTTTGCTCATAATCAAGCATGTGGCATCATTTTGGATACTCAAACTGCAAAAAATAGAAATCTAATTATACATTTTATCTTGAAATAAGTGCATTTTTTCCTAAACTGAGGAGGTAAGTGAGACACTTTGCCAATGGAACAAGATAATATGCATTTAAAATAAGAAAAGCAAATTGCATTGTCTTATTTCAAGTACATATTATCTAATTATCTTATTTTAAGAGTAAATATACTAATTCCATTGGCAGATAATTTTATATACCTACTCAAATTAAGGGTAAATTGTCTTAATTTAAAACATTTTTACTTATTTCTAGATTTCGAAGTCCAGCCTTCCTTTTTATCAGAATTTTTTCAGTGGAGGTTCTAGATGAATATTTTTTCATGGCGGCAGATAAAAAAACGTTAACAAACCTAACAAAGAAATAAAACAAACAAGGTAAGAGGACATTGTTTAGTATTTTAGGTGAGACACAAATCCGAGGTTACAGACCCCTGATCTAACAGATGAAAACTGTGATCCAATATTAATACAGCCGAAGCCCAATGCTGACTAATTTTTAAATTATTTCTTAATTAAATTGTTACAGTAAAATATTAAATAGGTCTAAGTGACGAATTGGTTATAATTTCATCTGTGAGCTTTTTTTCATCAGAAGAAATTTAATTAGTATTACACCGATCAAACACTGATCTAAAGAGGTGAAAATGTTCTTAATGTGTTGTTTTGATCTTATTTTAAATGTAAATCATCTTATTTCATTGGCTAATTGTTTTATCTTTTTGCACATATCATAGGAAAATACAGTTAATTCAAGAAAAACTGACTTGGATTTCAGTTTTGTTTGCAGTGTATGTTGTTAGTAAAGGGGCCATAACAGGGGCCAGGACCTGATCTACAGAGGGGCCCTGGCCCTACAGGGTTACTAGAAGCTTGAAGTTAGCATGTTAGCCATCCCAAAGCAGTTTAGATGCGTTTGGCATCAATATCACAACGATAGCTGCATCGCACCGTCGTTTTAAAGCTTTTACCATCTAGCTGTTGATTTGAAGTTAAACAATGTAATGATGAGCCTTTCACTTTGCTGTGAAACAGACCTTCAGCATGACTCCACCACCACCGTACTTCACAGTTGGTTAACTATTTCTAGTTGTGAAAGACCATAAGTCCTTTCTGTGGTGCCTCTGTAGTTTGACCTTCTTGTTTCTGTCATCAGGAGCCGGGCAATGAGACTCAGATCAAGCGTTTTGCTGAGTCCTATGATGCCCAGTTTGACATGTTCAGTAAGATCGAGGTGAACGGCGAGAATGCTCACCCGCTGTGGAAGTGGATGAAGGAGCAGCCCAATGGGAAGGGAACCTTTGGAAAGTACGTTTATATAAATACTAAACTCATATTTTGAGCTATAAGGCCTGGAGCCCATTGACTTACACTAACTACTTTTTTCTAACACACTTTTTTTCTTTCACTCCTGCAGTAGCATAAAGTGGAATTTCACCAAGGTAAATGCATCTACGCATTTAGACCTTTCTTGTTTTATTAAAGGATCAATAAAAAAACTCTAACATTAACTGGAGAAGCTTTAGTTCATTTGGGTTTTGTTTTTTTTGTTTTCTATCTAGTTTTTGATCAACAGAGAGGGGCAGGTGATGAAAAGATATGGACCCCTGGATGATCCGAGTGTACGTATAAAAACCTTTCCTCTCTGAGCCGTAACAGACCGATTGATACGCTTTTATTTACGGCTCTGTAGGGAAAAACAACAGAAAGATGATCAGTTTGTGTCACTCGTTAAGTGGGAGTCAGTGTGCAGAATATAAAATCTCCACCTTTATCATGACACAATGATATATTAATTTATGTGGATGATGATGTCAGTCATGGTAGGATTTCCATTCAGTACTCTGGTCTGTGGTCAATATGAGGCCATATCCTCTGTCTTCTAGCAAATGTATTTATATTGATATCAACTAAAGTAAAACAGCTGAAATATAATTTGACTCTTACAGGCATCAGCCATTTAAATCAAAGGTAGCATTTATTTACTTATGAAAAAACAATGACAATAAATAACCTGATTTACGTGTGGTGGCTTGTGAATTTCAAAATAAAGGCGTATGTGTTGCATTAATTAGTATGTTAATAATCTAATTAATTTATCAGTCATTGATGTGTTGTTACACCTCTACCATTCAGGCTGATTATTCATGCAGATCACCTTTCACTCTGTCTTTGTTTCCAGGTGGTGGAGAAGGATCTTCCCAAATACCTTTAACTGCCCCCAGTCCTTCCCTAACAACGAATGCTCCACATATTCTGTCGCTTCCTTTCTTTCCTCTGCATCTCCAAACGCTGGTTCATACGGTAAAGGTCCACCTCAGACCAGTGACGGCCTGTTCCAAAACCCGCATGGCGGACAGGACAGACCTGATGAAAACGGCGTGCAAACCTTCTGAGGGGACCCCACAGCTGATTATGATCTGGTTCGTTGGAGAGAAGGAGAAAGTTTCCTGAGCACATCAAGAATCAATATCCCACATAAAATTTTGCTTTTGTTTCCCAAATAAAATTCACTGAGATCCAAATGCTGTTGTGTCTCCTGACAGTTTTTTTCAGTTAGCGCTGCTTTTTGCACAACTGACCAGAGATTGCAAGGGAAAGATACCAAATAATACAAATAATTTTCTGGAGTTGGCTTTCACATAAGCAGTATAAATAGCTGCTTAAGGGTGGGAACTACAGGGGGTGATGCTGCAAGAGCGGCACCAATGTGTAGAAACTGATTGGTCCTTTTTACTAATTGTTTGTATTTATTAAAAACAAAAAGCATAAAGTGGAACTATTCCCTCACTGCCTCTGATTGGACGTATTTGATGTACCTCCCTCTCAGGAGTGGAGCTAGATGGCAGCCCAGTGCTTTTTTTGGGAAAATATTTCTTTTGGTTTTTAATTAGCCTGTTGTTAAAGTGTAGATTGGCAATGAGCTGATTCTTACACCTATCCAATTTGGACCCCCCCTCAGTGCACAGTGGCCCCTGCCTGGCCACCCTTCCCTCTGCTATTAATCACATGATCAGTGGACCTACCCTTATGTCACGTTCAGTTTATTTAGAACAAGAAATAAATATATCAATGATTAAACACCGGCATTGGTGGTTCTAGACCCTGTTCTGAAAACATGAATAAATAAAGTTATGTTGATTTGCACTGGCACAGAACAGTTTTTTTGTTTTACTTTAAATATTCAGTAGAAGTTTGTTTTTGTAACAGGCGTTCCATCACTGGCGGCCATCATCAAATGGTCAGCCAATGAGAGGGACATCATGTGGTCATGCAAAACCTTCACCTTTTGACTTTAAGTAGTTCTTTATTATTTCTGTTGCTTTTTTTTCCCTCAGTAATGGTTTTAATTTTAGGTAATTTGTAATTATACCTGTTTTTACCTGAAACAAAAGAAACTTTGAATTTAACTAACTGATGCAGAAATTCAACTTCTTTCACTTTAGAACTGCAAATGGCTCTTTGCTTCTGCTGCTCCCTTACACACATCAGATTACCCTGTTTTTATATTTAATCCTTATTTGCTGTGGCTCCTTTAAAAAACACTGACCCCATCCTGGCCTCACTGGTGAGTTTGCTCTCTAACCTCCACTGACATCAGACTCAGCATTTGTTTAGTAGCTTCTGTAAGAACAGCATATAAATTCTGTCTGGGAAGCTTTTTGCCACATATTTGTTTCTGTATGTTATGAACATTTTTGTGCAAGGCCTTTAAATTGAATTGACAGCATGTCACTAATTGTACACCATATAATTGACAAATTCTGTGACAGTTACAGAAAATCTTGCTGTATCCAGCAACGATCCTCTGTTATGGTGTTACTATCTCCCATTGCTGTGGAGGAGCTCTTGCTTGTCTTTTATGATGTGATTCCAAATATAGAGTACTGTGTAGGGACATTCATAGACACTAGGTGGTGCTAGAGCACCAGCCTTTTTCATCCTTGGACAAAAAAAGTGCCCTCCTGAAATTATTTTTTGCTTTTTACTTTTTTTATTCTTTGGCCCAAAATGCAACTTATGAATTTAAAAGCCTATTAAACACAGACTCTAGATTCTTTTCATTTTGCTCCAAGGGACATATAGCACCACCTCACTAAAGCCTCGCCTGCGCCTGGTGAAGGGGCAGCTAATTGTCCAGCTAGCTAAACAAGCGCATTTACCTCCTTCACCAACCAATTACTTCATAGCATAACGTCTTTAATGGCCTCTTTAATGGCATAATTATGGGACTCCCTGATGACATCTATTTGACTTTTTTATGACAACTTCAGCACACAAGTTAACTTTTGTTTGTTAAACATTTCATTAAATAACAAAAAATGTCACGATCTTTGTTCTGTGAAGTTTTCTTTTAAGTTTTCAGGTATATCCATGTTTTTCTTTGTTTTCTAGTGTTATTCCCATGTTGTCATGTTTTCTGGATATATCTGAGTTCTTAGGTATTTCTTGATTGCCCTCTGTTGCCATCTTGTGTTGGTCTCATTTTTCCTAGCTCATTTCCAGAATCCTCTGTTCACACCTGTTCCCAATCAGCTCATTAGCCCTGTCTTTGTTCAGTCTCCCATATATACTCTCCCTGTGCCGTTCCTCAGTGCTGGTTCCTTGTCTTTTCCTGGCTCCTCATGCATGTTTTCCCTGATGTATCCATGGTTCTGTTTTCTCTCCTGTACTTTTATGTTTGATTTTTGGTTTCCTCCCTGAATATTACAACTACAAGACTCACCTCTGCAATAAGGTCCTCAAAACCTCAATCCATCCCTGACAAAAAATATGTCCAAACATGAGGTCAAATGATCACAGTTCAATAACTTAAAGAGTTTTATTCAGTAAAAGCGAGGTATGTAGACTGAGCTGCATTTCCAATTTCTGTGTTTATTGACAAAGATCTTGGACTGCAAAAAAACAACCTGAATATATGTAAAGTTTTCTGAAAATTACTAAATTTTCCCTAATCTGAACACAGAAATAAAATGATCTGTCAGTGGAACATGATTACATATTATGCACTCGAAATCAAATAAAAAAAAAACTCTTTTTTAATTTTCTAAATGTAAATCTTAGTTCATTTGTCATATCTNTTCTAAATGTAAATCTTAGTTCATTTGTCATATCTGCCCAATAAACTTAAAGATATTATGGAATCCTGGGCTTTATATTGGTGGATTTAAAATAGTTATTCATTTAACTGGGACCAATTTGACATTACGAAAGAGGATTAGGGCCACTGGGGGGAAAAAAAAAAAGTTTACTGATTTTAAAATTTTATTTCAATTTAGTATGGGAAAAAAGGCAGAATTGTGACTTTTTTCTGAGAATTCTGACTTTTTTCTCAGAATTTTGGATCTTAATGTAGATGGGCACCATGAGGGAAGAGATGTGGAGCACTCAGCTTCACTGACAAAGATGTGAGTTGTTTGAGGTGACCAGTGACACATTGGTGGAAAATGACGGAATTAGGCAACTTTTTACGTGCCTGAGGGGTCGCCTCTTTAATGGAGGAGCAGAAGGTCATTAAAACAAGAGAGCTAGTCTCTAAAACAGACATGGCTATGGCTTGATGCCAACGTGTTTGTTAGCTGTCAGAATTCTGAGAGAAAAGGCAGAATTATGAGATTAAAGTCAGGCTTCTGAGATTAAAGTCAGAATTCTGAGAAAAAAGTCAGAATTCTGACTTTTTGCCCCATACTAAACTGAAATAAAATTTAAAAATCAGTTAACCTTTTTTTTTTTAGGGGCCCTAATCCTCTTCCGTAAATAGTACCTATGGAGGCGGGAGATTGTTAAATGTCAGCATCAGGTAGTGTTTGGCTGTTGGGGCTCCATGCAACATATAAGGTGCCCTGTTCCAACCTGAGCACCTGCCCCCTAAAATGTCTGTGGACTCCAGTGTTACTGTGGGATAGTGATTATTTTATCCAAATGACATTAAATGTCGGTATGTTTGAAATATTTAATTGAATTATTGCATTTCATTTAAAGAGTTTTACCTGAATCTGTTTTTACTCTAATCAAATTAAAGATGCATTGATATCTTAGGGACACAATAAAAAACTAAACACTACAGCGACTACTGCACAACAGGCTGCAGTTCTTCAACATGCCTGCAGATGGAGCCAGAGCTGGCTTTTCTATCCTCTCCTCAGCGGGCAGCAGCAAGTGCAGCGAAGCCAGCAGCAGCTCACTCCGCGCCGCTGTCGTGAGGGAACCCCGCACTGATGAGGGCTCCTGTCTCACATTACTCCTGATTATCGTGACACATCCAGCGACGCGTTCCCCCGCACACCGCCGGGATTTCACCGTCGCTCTGTGGGTCTTTCTTTCGGGAGGACGTGTGTTTGTCTTTCCTCCGGGAGGCTGAATGGAAGCAGCAGCCGAGGGAGCGGTCGGGCTGTCGGAGGCCAGGGAGAGGAGCCCACTATCCGGGGCCGCAGCATCCGATGATGGGGAGACGGTTGTGGGAGTTAGCTACGGGATGGACGCTGCAGACATGGGTATGTTAGCTCTCCTTTACTAACCCCTCTCATCCCCTTTTCATTTTAGTCCATTTTCCTCTTTATTTTAGATGATTTCCTACATTTTCCCCTCTTTTCTGGTGCTGTGAACAGAAAGTCCAGACTCATCTGTGCTAGCATCAGGAACTGGGAAGCTAAGCTAGTGGCTAATCATGGATGAGGAGGAGAGCAGGTGAAGTTGTGGCTCAGGACTGCAAACTGCCTGCTGTCCTGAGCAGACTGCCATGGAAAGGGTCGTTATTACAGCATAACGGATGAGCTGATAATAACTATAGTATGAAACTGAGCGACATATAGGACCAGACAGGGGCGGTGCTATGATATCAGACCAGGGGTTCCCTAATGGTTCCCCCTCTGACCCCAAATATAATAACCTGACAGACTGCTGACCCTAAATTTACAGATAATTACTTTACAGTATTTATATACATAAAGTGAAATAATTTTATTAATTTTTAATGATGACATTCATTAAATTATGTCTATATGTTGGTTATCTGTAAATCTGACACAACAATAGGCCTGTGAGCAACATTATCTGGGTGGGCCCCATATAAAGAACAACACGTTATAAAGGTTCATGATGCGGCGACAGTTCCATAAATCGGCCAAGAAGATACAATTATGCAATTCTCAGTAGTATAGTGACT